CCCTCTCATTTTACCACCTCACCCCAGCACCTCTGTGCTCCGTCCTGAGCCCCAGGGGTGAAGTAAGAGGAGGGACATGGAGCCTGGGGAGGACTCACCTGCCTGCACACGGGTCTTCTGGTCCAGACTCAGCCCTGGAAGAGAGTCCCTGTGAGAGATTTGCACCCGGATGTCTCAGCTGGTTCCCTTCCCATCAGGGCCCTGTCCATTTGAACTGCTTGAGCCTGATGTTCCCCATGAACAAGGGGGTGTAGCCACTCTGTCCCTTCTCCAGCTCCCCCTCCTGCCTTCCCTCCCCATGTCCACAACTGACCGAGGCAGAGAAGAGCAGAGAGGATGGACGTCATGGCGTCTGCTCTGAGGGTTCCTGCTCTGCAGATGGAGAAATCCTGGGCCTGAAGGACAGAGACACACAGGATGTGGTGGGTCCGGAGCTGCTTCCGCTTTCTGGTTTTTCACAGCTGTGGACCCAAAGCCAAGGGAGGACCCCGCCCTGGGCCTGGCTCTGCATCTCCTCAGGATGGGGGCTGAGGGGTAGACAGGTTCTCAGGTCTCACCTGATCCTCAGGGTCTCATGTGTCTGATGGACTGACTCCTGCTCTGAGAGGGCAGGACCCAGGTTCTGGTCCTGATCTGCCCCTGAGAGTCTGGCTCTGAACAGCCTAATGGGTCGTTCCACCACAGCTCTTGAGGGAACTCATTTATAATAGACTCTGCTGAGCAGTTTCCCAGTAGCCTCAGCATTTCCAAGACTTTCCCAGGTTCAAGGGTCCTGGTAGGTTCCCATCCCTGCCAACCCTTCATGTTTCCGGCCTTTTTAATTTTCATTACTCAGTGTAAGTATTGGTACCACCCTGTGGTTTGATGCACATTTATTTCTTCAATGACTTATAAAGCTCAGCACCTATTATTTTAAAAAAAGGGTTTTTTTGCTCCTCACCTGATGGTATTATTTCCAATGATTTTTAGAGAGGATGGAAGGGAGAGAAGGAAAGAGAGAGAGAGAGAGAGAGAGAGAGAGAGAGAGAGAGAGAGAGAGAGAGAGAGAG